ATGCAAGCGACATGTGAGCTGTATTGTTTTTTCGACATGAGGGTAGGCATGCTGGTGCGTGGTAGGCCGGGGGTATGAACGGTGTGTCGTTCGATCGGGAAGAAGGGGGAGGATTTAAGGGGGGGGGGGGGGCTTAAGGAGGATTTTGCATCGACAAAAGCCTTTAGGGTCGCCTGGGGAAGGCAATGAAGATCGCCAAGAGATTAACATTGGAATTGGCGCCAGGTTTTTTTAAGGTGAAGGGAGAAATGCTCGTATAAGAAGGATACCGTAAACGTGCTAAACCTTTCATATAGCAGCATGCAAAAACCACGTCTAAGAGAAACTGATAACCCCTAGCCTTTGGATATTTAATTATGAGGTCGTAGGGACGGTCGTGAGACGCGAATGAATATAAATGACAACAACTCAAATATATAGCCTACCGCTAATGAAGCAATAGTAACAGCATACCATGTAACACCCCAAAGAAAGGGTTACACGTCCCATGATGATAAATACATGTATTTTTGCTTATCCCGTTGGCAGAACATTTTTGACAGAGATCACTGAAGGAAAGAAAGCGGAAGACGACAAACTTCAGACGCCTGTAAGTCATAGTCATAAATCCTTTCAACTTTCATTTATTACTTTTTTGTTAACCATTTTTCCTTTATATACAACCTGACTCTTTAGGCTCGCACGAGTTAGCCTGTATCGCAGATGTGATTTAAGACTGGTTAATAACGTAATAATAACTTTTTATCTGGCTGATTTTTTTTTAATGAGGCGCGCCTTGCATTTTGCCACTAAACTAAATTCCAGGTATATTAAAAAATGTCATTGTTTTTGGGTACCCTCGAACCATATGTTCGCCTCTGCACGTAAAGCTGTATTTCCCGCGCCAATAACGACTGCCGTTCACAGATTGGCCGTCGTGGCCGTCTCTGTGAGAAGAATTTGCCACAAAAAAGTTCAACGATCCTTTCTGAACCAAAGTTTGGACCCCCCCCCCCCCCCCCAAAAATATCCTTGCCCCCCCCCCACACCGGAAGGGCGTTTGAAATTCCCCTTCAACCCTATTGGAAAACCGAAAAAAATTTTTTTAAAAGCCCGGCCGGGGCCCCCACCCAAACCCTCGTGCCCTTTTAGTGCGGGGGGCCCCCCCCACAGTTTTCGGCCCGGGGTGCGAGGGGGGCGAGGGCGGAGCTTACTCTCTCCTCGGGACCCCCCCCCCCCCCCCAATCAAAAATTCCTGGATCCGCCCCTGCATTGGAAGAGCGATTTGAATTTCCCTTCAACCTGATTGGCAAATCGACAATAACTTTTTTAAAAGGCCAGTCATGGCGCCTACCCTAATCCTAGTACACTGTTAGAGTCAGGGGCCCGCCACAAGGATTTCGGCGCTGGTTTGCAGACGGACGTAACCGGAGTTTAGTTTCGTCTGTGGCACAGGCTATGTAGGGCTAGCGTGAGATTCGAACTTAAACGAGCCTTATATTTTCCTCCAGGATACGCGTTACGGAATCATCAACGAACAACAGAGACATGTGTTTGGCCTTCTTTTTGATGAAGTGGATAAAGATAAAAATGGCAGTGTAACTCTCGAAGAACTCAAGCTAAGGATGCAGCCTTCTGTTTCTAGACACGATATTAAACATTTTGTACAGGTAAAAAAGAAAAAAGAACCTTAAACCTTGTCCTTTTCAGAATTATATTATCTAATGAACGTTTTAAACAATGTCAAGTCTTTCCTTAACCAGGGTTGGGCTAGACTCCCTTATATAAGAAACGGTTAAACGAACAGTCTATCACTCACATCGCTCGCGCTCGACAATTTCTTCGAGAAAAACAAATAAATGTCTGTGAAAAAGCTTCTGTAATTCTAACTTTTGAGTCATTGTTAGGTTTCGCCTTTAAATTTTCTCGTACTTTTCTTTTTTTCACTTTTAGGTGTTTGACTTAAACAAAGATCACACCGTCGATAAAAGAGAATTTGCCGCCATTTGCGCTCTCAATGATCAGATTTCTGGAACCAAGTAAGAAATTTGAAGTTTTTCTTGCCGCGTGAAATGATTAACTAGGGCTATTGGTTTATCTTTCTTTCATTTATTATTTTTTAATTGTTTGTCAGAACTGAATCCGAAGATGCATCTTTAGCTTTAGACCTGGAAAATTTATCGCAGCATATTGTCATTTTCAAGGTAAAGTGCATGTGGTAGACATCAAAATGTTTCTTTTTTTTACGACGGTCGTATATTAGACATAAAAATGAAACTCGGCAGATTAAAGATCTCTCTTCTCGTAGAGTCAGTGAAAAGGTAGGCATTATTATAATAATTATTGTTTATTTTTATTTTTTCGTGAACATGGTTAAAAAAACCTTTATCCTAAAAAAACGTTTTGTAGTTGATTGGCTTTGATACCATCTAATCTATTTAAAAACTCTTTCAGACACTGTGAATAACATCGTGGATATATCGAAAATAGAGAGTAGAATAATATGGGCTGGAAAAATAGATGTAGAGAATATGGAATGCGAGGCCATTAAAAACTCAGTGGAATTTTCTTTTCTTTCTTTCTTCTTTGTTTTGCTTGTTTGTTTGTTTTTTCCGTCCCAATTGGTGACTAGTGTGCCACACTTCCAAGTAAAACCTCTTGAGCAATACTTTGGTGCGATAGCAATTACATAATAAAATCAGTATGATTACTTCTTATTCTTAAGAGTGAAAGTTCTCGTTTGTAGAGGTAATTAATATGTTGTTCCATATCAATACTGCTTTTGTAAAGGAAATGTTCAAAACAATCGATGAAGATGACGACAACAGACTAGACGCTGGAGAGTTACTAGTGATGGTGTCCGCTGCCATGGAAACGGAAATAGGGGCGGACCTTCAGACAGCCAAGGAGGTGCTTGAAGGAGCACGTGATGAGTTTGGTGAGTCTAATCGTTGCAGTTTCTTATCATACATTAAGCAATTATTGTATTAAGTATCATAGCGGCTATGAAGAATTATGCAGATCAAGGATTGGCGTTATCTTTTTTTTTGGTGAATTTTTTTGTTGGCCACTGTTTGGAGTGAAAGGATTAATGATTGGTTCGTAATCTTTACTTTCGTTAGCATGACGGCAGACGCGGTAACAACGTCGGGCGTCACCGCTAACTACTGTTTCTGTTGTTGTTTTTAATAGATTGTAAAACGATTACGACTACGAGTCCGAGATTTTCTCAATACTAAGTAGTGCACGCGCGTGAACGAGCGTCGTTTTTGGCGGGAAAACATGATTGCGGTCATAGCTCCTTCAGAAAAGATAACAGTGCTAATTTTTTGGTGAAAAAGAAGTGCAATGAAGCTTTCGGGGTGTCTATACTTTGAGAATACGCAAAAAAACTTTCAGTCAAATCTCGTACTCTTAGTAGTTCTCGTCCTAGAATCTAAAGGTTTCTAATTTGTACCAATGATGTTCACCAGAAAAGATTTACTTATTTGTGTCCTCTTCGATTTTCTCCAGGTTTTATCGACTTCGTTGGTTTTATGTCATATATACCTTTCTTTGCAAAGCTGTTGAGAACAATTCTGGAACATCCGCTGAGTATTGCTGAACTAGAGCGAGCTCGTGAACGTGTAAAGAAGCATGACATTACTTTTAAACCGCCCAAGAAGAAGGCCAAAGAACCAAAGAGTTGGGAAGTTTTCTAAAACTCTTTCCGGCCAGATACGAATTGCTAAATTAAAAAATTAAAAGCAACAAATATCCTATGCAAAATACCTAAAAACATAAAGGTACAGCTTACTGTCATTTCTGGCCAAAACTTGCGCTGTGTTTGAACCTTTCATAATTTGAGCCTAATTTTTATTTGAGTACCGACACATTTACAATTGAATAACCATTCTATTTTCATATACTTTATATTTTTAGTCCTAATCGTACATAGTTTATTTTAAACCTTTTACCCTTTATTACCAGTAAATTAACTTTCATGGGGGTGAAAATTAACAATTAGTGAATGAGGCTGAGTATCTTATGAAGAATTATGGAGATCGAGGAGGGTGTTATCTGTCGAGGCCGTAGGCAGAGGCGGATAACACCCTCCGAGATCTCCATAATTCTTCATATGATACGAAAGCCGAATTCAATAATTGTTTTATTATTCATTCAAAATAATTCCTACCGGTACCGGTAATTTAAAAACATGGCTAAAACATGCGTACCGCCATCGATCCATTGATGTTAAGTTTATCTTCCCCATTCTTCGACAGTGCACGTTTCAGATATTCTCCAAATAGCAGATGTCGCCCTTCGAGTTGTCTTCTTTCTGTTCTTACCATGTTTTTGGCTATTTTTTCGCCTAGTTCTTACTCTTGAAACGAGTGAAATGTCCGCCATTTTTCAAGTTCACAAGCAAAACAACTCAGCCTCGTCCCCAGGTCGTCTCGGTTAACGGTGCCTTAACCTGCGAAAACGCTGCATTTTTGACGTCATTTCCTCGTTAAACACAAAATTCTTCCAAATTTGGTCATCAGTAATGGTTATGGCGAATTAAACGTGTGTTTTTAGCCAATGAGAATCGGGAAAATATTTTGAATGAATAATAATATAGGTTAATAAACTTAATCTGTAAATATTTTTTGGCTAAGGTAAAAGTTTCTTCATTTTGTGGCATAGTCACTAAGGATTTTTACATTATATAAGAGAAATGAAAAATTTTTAACTTAGGAAACAGTTTCTTCATTTTGTGGCATAGTCACTAAGGATTTTTACATTACTAATAAGAACATTCCCCATTCCTACCAGCTTTTTATCGAAAGCAACTTATTATAATGCGCTGGAATGAAGAGTTTCAGCCTTGAGTTAATGTTAGTTTGTGCAAATGGAATATTAACAATTTTATACTACTACATGAGAAATTTCTGTAATTTGATTGGCTTAGAGCAGTGGTATTTCAGCTTAATTTGAAATACCTACATGTGAAAACTACAAATTTAACCTTTTGTTGGTAGTAGTATAAACAATAATAGCGTGATTTGTACGTGATATTTGGCATAAATCGCCCACTCGTGATATTTCAAAATTGTCTCAAATTTCACTCGCCTAACGGCTCGTGAAATTACGTAGAACAATTTCGAAGTATCACTAGTGGTATTTATGCCAAATATCACTACAAATCATGCTATTACCTATACTAATTTTTAAAGAACATTATGTTGCAAATTTCTCTTATTCTTAAGGAGATTTTTATTGCCGTTAAATCGAAATTTCTTGGGCAGCATTGTTGTGTGTTCAAACGACGTTTACTAAAAACTACGCGTGTATTACTTGCTACCTCAAAGTTTTCTTGAGGACTCAAGAAAAGGATTCGTTTTATATATGTTTTTAGTTTTATGTCAATTTATTGTCAATTTTANCGAAATTTCTTGGGCAGCATTGTTGTGTGTTCAAACGACGTTTACTAAAAACTACGCGTGTATTACTTGCTACCTCAAAGTTTTCTTGAGGACTCAAGAAAAGGATTCGTTTTATATATGTTTTTAGTTTTATGTCAATTTATTGTCAATTTTATTTTTATATATTTCACAATCAGCATTTGCCCGTTAAAGAACTATTATCTTAATATACGTTTTTTGTTTTCATGGTTTATGAAAAGCAAGTTATTTAAGTTCCGATTCGCGTTGATCAAAAGTTAGAAATGTTTAGAAACGTCAGTTAGTTATTCAAAAAAATACGTTTAATTGTTTTTTTTTAACAAAAAACTCATCGATTATTTAGTTATATTTGACTAAGTGTAATAGTTTATTTTGAGCGTCTCACATGATGAATAAACATATACATATTCATAATTAAGTGTGGGAAATAATGTTAGAAACCGAAAGTTGCATTTATTTAGCTTGAACGAGCACACCGCAAAGTTGTTTCGAAATTAACGAAATAAGTCACCCAAGGATGCTGAAAGCATTGTCAAGGCCTAGTAGGTAAGGATACCAGCTCATGAAACATGCGAGTAAATATGTCCTTACACCCTTCGAGCCATAGCCTTTGCAACGAAAGCTTGGTGCTCAAAGATTTGAACGCCACGGCATTTGCTTCTCAAGTCATCACTGCGTCGTATTCAATGCTGTTTTACCTGATTTTGCTGCTATTGAGTGCTCTTGGAGTGTGCTTTAAGCCCTTCGTCAAACTCTTCTCCTCGCATTCTGCGTTCATTCTCTTTCTTGTCGGGCTAATAACGACCTCAATCGATGTCTTCACAAAAGCCAACGATTCAACGATAAGTCTATATCATCGCCTAGTCGCCGTTTTCCTTGTCGGCGTGGTATTCATCCTGTTTGGTGCCGGATTATTCTTTGTAAAACCAACTGGCTCTTCCAATCGTCGTACCCTCGGACAACATCAGCCCTCCATGGGGCTTCTTGTAACAGTCATCACCTTACCTCTTATTACAACGGAACTGCTGATTCTGTTAGCGGCCCATGCCTCAAGAGACGAGACCCCGCGATCCTTAAGAGACGTGTGGATGCTTAATGTGATAAAAGATGGGCAATATGTCGTTCAAAAATTAATTCAAGTCGCTGTGTACGTCTGGCTGAGGAACTCAAGAGTCCGTGATTATTACAAAGAGAACGCGCAATTTTATTTCAAAGTGCTGGCGTTTTTCAACTTTATGCGATGGGTAGACGCCCAAGTGAACTTAAACAAGACGGTTCTGAAAGATGATGCCCGATCGGTTTACGGAAATTGGTTTGACGTTCTCTACGAACTATACAAAGCGTTGCTGATAGATTACCGTCTCCTCTGCTCGCTCCTTTTCCTTGAGCATTCCATTCAAATCAAAAACGAAACAGACGATCCTGAAGAACTCGTTGATGACCAACCCCTCACAAGGAGGGTTATGACGTCATCGCGCCGGCAAAACAGGAATATCGGGTTTATCGTCGGTATTTGCTGCCTTCTCGCACCATTCACCTGCGGCCTTTACTATGTCCGAAAGCTGGAACTTAGCGTTTACACGCGGGCTGTAGCTACTGTGTTAAACTCATTTTGTATTCTTGGGTGCGGATTGGTTCTCTTACTCAAGAACAACCTTGATTTTGACAAGAGGGATCAAGATCCAGCAGGGGTGAAAATTATGGTGAGTTGAGGAAAAATCAGTACAGCAGTTTTTACCATAGATTTAGCTTGACTGAGTATTTAAGGCTACAAAGAGATGAGTAGCTCTTAGATCTCTATGAGCGACCACTTATTTACTTGTAGATATTTAAACTGGTTTCATTTCAGTTTACTCGCGTGCAACATACTCGCAGACATGGAACTTATTACGCTGGAATTACAACCCACTTTCAGCATCTCACGCCGTAAGGCAAGAGAAGCGTACCTCATAGATAGAGGCAAAACCCTGTCACCAGACGGTCTGAACCGTCTATTTTATTTTTATTGTATAATCATTTACCTGTATATTATTCTATGTAGTATTTATAACTGTAGTTGATTATTAACGACTTATGTAAATTTTAAATTTAAATTCAAGATATTTTCTCTCGGTTGCTCTGGCCATGAGGAAGGCTAATTTTGTTAGCCGAAATATTGACCTATAATAAATCAGCCCTTTGCCGTAGTACCAGCCTTGCATTTAGTTTTGTTACATACTTAAACAAGTTTCCCTCCCTGGTTTATTTGTTTGTCTAATTATTAATTTTCCAAGTAGGTTTGCTGTTTGGGGGCCGTGGCTTTTACAAGTTTGATGATCAAAGCAGCTCTCGCGGAATTCTGGTCAGTCGGTTATCACAACTACCTCTGGGCAGGGGTAGAGCTGGCTGCCCGCGGGATCACCACACTGTTCCTGATGGTTTTGTATCTCAAAGTTCACGCGCGGGCCCTGCCTTTGAGAAACCCTGATGTGAGAATAAATCATTTTCTAGTGCCAGTGTTGATGCTTGGAATTATGGCCGCTTTCGCTTCCTCTTTGGTTGATGAGTACATTGGACCTCTCGATTTGAAAATAAGGTGCGTGAACTAACAAGAACGTTTCGAGCGTTAGCCAAAGTGGGGAAAGGACAAAGGGTGGGAGCCCGGAGGAAAAGGGGGAAAGAGGACCGTATAAGAGGTGGGAGTTCTAAGAAGGCAGGAAATAGAACAATAGGGAAAATCACCCATCAATGCTTTATATTCACAATCGAAAATGGGCTAAGGAAGAGGCGGGGGTTTGGCCCCCCCTGGTCCCTCCCACCCACCCCCTCTTCAATTTGGAGAGGAAAGAACAAGTCTCCTGTGGAAGTGCTAGGATTTTATCCACAGATATAAAACTACGATAGGGAAAGAGGCGTTAAATGTCTTCAAAATGAATGAAAAAGGTATTCAACTCATTGGTTACCGTCTAAGGCCTCGACGATCATTGCTTCAACATTCACAGCAACTCTAACGCAGTTCACTAGCTAATAAATTAACCTGGAACAAAGGAATCAAACCACATAATAGAAACTAAGGGCACTTTTCATTTGTCAGTACTGACCGACCAACCTATTCGATTCCCATCGTAATTAGAATGTCCCTTTTAATAAAAACTAACCATCCACATCAGTCAAATCCTAAATGTTATGCACAAAGAAGATGGTTCGGATCATTACACTTTTCTGGCAAACTGCCCACCTACCCCTCCCCTAAGCTAACATTGACACTTACTTCTCACTTGGGGAAAAATGTTGCCTTAGGGGAGGGGTAGGTGGGCAGTTTCCCTTGGAAAGCGCCTTAAGAAAACTAATGAATCGACCGATCAGGCCCCGGTCGTTGGAAAGGAGAAGAACGATATCCACTAGCACTGGATAAATCTCTATCCAATTGATAGTTTAATTGGTTTTCCTAATACTTATCCGCTGGATAGTGATTTGTCCAGTGGACAGCGCTATTTTTACAATAACTGAACGAATCCTAGCTCGCTGATTGGTCGAAAGCTATGGTCTATAAAGTGTAGACCATGGAAAGGCTAAGGTACGATCATTATACTTTTCTGGGAAACTGCCCACCTACCCTTCCCCTAAGCTAACATTGACACTTACTTCTCACTCAGAGCAAAATGTTGGCTTAGGGGAGGGGTAGGTGGGCAGTTTCCCAAAAACGTATAATAATCCAAGAAAACTAAGTATTTATTACCTTACAATAATACTGCCATTTTATTTTGTCGTAGCTGTGAAATCAAGGAAGAAAGCTTGCAGATACTGCACGAAGCCGGCCTGCCAATGCTCCTTGGGTTTCTCATTCACGTGTGCTTACACTTTCTCTTCGTGCAGACCAGATTTGGTCTCATTAAGGTGTCGCACAAAAATCAGGAAACAAGCCCTCTGTTAACTAGTCGTTCAGAGTTTAAAGATGATCAACTTTACAGTGAACATCGTGATACTGTCATGTGACCATTTGTCGAAGAATCACAAGTAACTGACTGATAAATGACGGGTGTAATTAAGACGTTTTCTGGTGTATCTTAAACCTCGTTCACACTAATGCATTTTCATTTGAAAAAGCACACATTTCAATGCGTTTAGGTACTCCGTCCGTTCTAATACCCTGAGCGTCGCTCTTGAAAGTAGATCAAAACGAAAACGCGTACATATCGTATTAGTGTGAACGGTCGAAAACGCATCAAAATAAAATGATGCCGAAAATATCATAGGCGCGTGTGTTTAGAGCATGCGCATAGAGTTCAACTTACGTCACACCGTGCAGTTCTATCGTTTTCGAACGTTTTGGTGTGGACAGTCGTAAACGCATCAAAAAGGTGGTGTGGAAGCGAATCCGTCGAACGCGTTTTCGATGACAATGAAAATGTATACTTTTGAAAACGCATTTGTGTGGACAGGGCTTTGAACACGTCGAAACACGTTTGGAATGACTGTCCATTTCTTCCTAACGAAACCTAGCGGTTGGAAACAGTCAGTGAGCCTATAAACTGTTTCATGAGTGATTTTTTCGCCCAACTTCACTCTCGACGCTGGCAACAAAAAGAGAACATCGTTAAGATAACATGGGTTGGTTGAGGAAATGCTAATAATGTTTTATTTAACAACGTCTGCTTAAACTCGGTTTTGATAACCACAGCTCAAACGTGAAATCGGAATACCCCTATCCGAAAACCTTTCAAACCTTTGATCACGTGATTATTGAACTCGAAGTCCTCAACATCTACCTTATTTTAAACTCGGATCAATTGAGTAACAGTATCTGGATAACTGACCACCTACCCCTCCCCTAAGTCACAATTTTGCCCTAAGTGAGAAGTAAGCGTTAATGGTGACTTAGGGGAGGGGTAGGTGGTCAGTTACCCAGAAACCCAAATTGCTCCATTTACTCTTAACCTTTTTGGTGTGTATTCTTATCAACACTAAACAATCTATTGCCACTTTCGTAACCTCTCCATAATTAATCAGCCTGCCCCATGGTACGAAACCTGATCTGCTTATTATCAACATCAAACGGTGTACCTTCCGTTCAATACGATGCCATCTGCGTTTTATTATGACTTAATCAACCTTTTCTCTCGTAAATGAAAGAAAATCTTAGCAAGATCTCCCTGCAGATTAGAATTCTTTTTAGTACCCATCAATTACGTCGTTCTCAGCCTTTTCCTTTTTTAACAGCCTGTATAGCAATCAGTTTAACTAGTGACTTAAGGGAGTCTAAACACATTTAGCCTACCCACTGATGGCGGCTTGTTTGTTTCCAACCCTTTCTCTTCATGGCTTCGCCTCTCCAAGTTTGCGCTCTCGACAAACAAAACCGCGAGCTACGTAGGTTAGAGTTTGTTTGTTTTGTTAGTTTTGAAGCTTTACACCTCCATTAGCTTCTTTGGGTACCGGTAGATCTGTTTTTCTACTATTTTTATTATACATATTTCTTCAACTGATTTTGTGAAAATGTATGTATTGTAATTGGTTTATTGGCCTATTGGCCACGCTCTCATGCCTTTCTGTACTTAGTGTAATTGCATTGCTGTTGATGCCATTGGAGACTCTCAATAAAGATTTACCTTTCTAATACTTATTTTAATGTCGTTACCTGATAATATTGTAAATGACAACTATATATATCTAGCCGGATTTTTGAAAACGTTACCACCAAATGGTCTTTCGTGTCCAACAGTTTTTTTTTTCGGTCAAAGTAGCCATTATAAAAATTAAGAGTGCAACCATTGCTTTTTTCCTCTTCTCCTTTCCTTTCTTCCTCCTCGCTCTCTTTTTTTCTCCTTAGAGTATATAGAATGTTAAGCACAACGGGCATTGGGAGGGAAGGGGGAGAGGGAGGGGGCGGATGCGATATCCTTAAAGAATCTAGATGCCGTAATATGACGTAGGGGTTGTTCATTTGTTATGGCCAGGGGAGAGGGGGTAAGGCAAAATTCATAATGAATCTCCAAGTTATTTCCTTCTACACAGCTTTTTAGAATATTCCAGGGAGCTACTTACCTATAATAGGTTCGTCGACAGAATGGGCGCATATATTTCAGGAAAATTCTAATTTACACAATTTAAGCCAGATAACAAAAATAGCGTAGTTTTGTCGGTTTCGTTTGCTTACTATAAGGTTTGCTGTTTGGGCGCTGTAGCTTTTACAAGTTTGATCAACAAAGCAGCTCTCGTGGAATTCTGGTCAGTCGGTTATCACAGCTACCGCTGGGCAGGGGTGGAGCTGATTGCCCGCGGGCTCACTAGTCTGTTCCTGATGGTTTTGTATCTCAAAATTCACGCACGGGCCTTGCCTTTGAGAAACCCTGACGTTAGAATAAATCATTTTCTAGTGACTGTGTTGATACTTGGAATTATGGCGAAGTTTGTCGCCATTCTGGTCGATCAGCACAATGGATCTCTTGACCGCGGAGTCGGGTATGTAATTAAATGACAGCCAGGGAAGAGCGGATCAAAGTTACCCTAGGTACCATGCGTTTTTTGTCGCGTGCGGCGGGATACATCGGTCGGCCACCGACAGATCTTCGGCCGAAAGCCAAAGCTACGCGAATGTATAAAGACTAACGAAAACCGGAAAGTAGGCATGGAAAAAAAACAGTCTCTGGGACCCGGGGTAGATCTAAGTGGATGGGGTGTCTTTACTAACCACAAAAAGAGATACGTATTCAACGCTTCGTGCTCTTGCAACTTATTTCTTTCTTAAAAGGATGTTTAGGAGCAAGAGAGGTTTTATCCTTAATGTTTTGGCGGTAAATTAAATGACTTGGTATCGCAAGCGTTCAAACCTGGGGCGATTTACTGTATGAATTGTCATTCTTGGATTCATGGGACGCGCGTAAATTATAATGGCGGAAGTTTTAAGTCAAAAGGAGGACGAAAACAAATGGACACTACTAAAGAGTGAAAGATAAAAAATGGGAGCAAAGGGCATTGTGTTGGTAAGAATTACAACCACGTCCACGCTCGCTAGCAGCCCGAGAAAACAGCCATCATTTTGCGAGGCCACCACTGGTTTTCCTGCGAAATGACGTCTGATGAACGAGCGAAGAAATTCCATACTGATGACATTTCACTACCCAGATCTGGCGAGTGTTTCTGATTGGTTGAAGAAAATTAAATTTCCCAAGTAACACGACCAATCAGTAGCACTATCCAGATCTGGGTAGCCATACATCATCAGTATGCAATTTCTGAGCGCGTTGCAAGCGTGAGTCACTTCGCGGGAAAAGCGGTAGTGGCGTCGAGAAATGTTGGCTGATTTTATTTGTCGTAAATGTAGTGAAATCAAAGTAGAGAGCTTACACCTTCTGGACGAGGCCGGGCCAGCCAGTGCTCCTTGAATTTCTTATATCCAGGTGTGTTTACATTTCCTTTTTATACAGTCAACATTCGGTTGCCGGAGGAGTACAAATTTCAACGAGGAATAGGAATTACCCTCCATATTTGACCTCTTTAGAAATTCAGATAACGACTCAGCGGCGTGGACGTTTTTTCCTTTGCGTAACTCGCTAACTCGCGCATGAAAATTGCTTATGGCCTTGTCCATACCAATGCGTTTCGAAAA